TAGATGTCATCTCATTTTAATAACCTCAGAAAATATTTAATTTGTAAAATAATAGAAAGGCATGGCATTTTATTCTTATCCATACCCCTATATTGATGGTTGTATATGTGGAAATAAATGTTATCGGCAAGAAGGATGCCATATTCATTAGAAAAGGCGAACTCATATTCCTTGTGGTGTATGTAGTATACCAACAGCTTCTTCTTATGGAATGTATACGAAACATGCTGGAAAGTATTACAGTAAAGCTAATTATCATAAAAATAAACTTCAGGATAAAAAAATGTGATCAAGCATCCCGGGTAATCCAAAAATATGTCCGAAACTGATTATATAGGCCTGGTGGTCCAATAATGAAAAAAGCCGAGATAAGATTCTATATTACAGCTTCTAGGCAATAGAAGTCTTTTAAAAATATGTTTTTTTTTGATATTCGCCCTTGTCTAAAAGACTGCGGGGTGACTAAACTTTATCGTTTTTTCAAATTAATGAGAAAAAGGAGTCAATTTGACTAATCTGTGATAAGAAAACTGCTTGACCGCTCTGGCTACTTTGGATGCGAATAACTTGTGTATATATGCTCCGCATCTTCGATGCTTTGCAACCTGTAAACATATTTTGTGTACATATGCTCCACATCTTCGATGCTTCGCAATCTGTGAACATATCTTGTGTACATATGCTCCGCATCTTCGATGCTCCGCAACCTGTGAACATATCTGTGAACATATCTTGTGTACATATGCTCCGCATCTTCGATGCTCCGCAACCTGTGAACATATCTTGTGTACATATGCTCCGCATCTTCAATGCTCCGCAACCTGTGAACATATCTTGTGTACATATGCTCCGCATCTTCGATGCTCTGCAACCTGTGAACATATCTTGTGTACATATGCTTCGCATCTTCAATGCTCCGCAACCCGTGAACATATCTGTGAACATATCTTGTGTACATATGCTCTGCATCTTCAATGCTCTGCAACCCGTGAACATATCTGTGAACATATCTTGTGTACATATGCTCCGCATCTTCGATGCTCCGCAACCCGTAAACATATCTGTGAACATATCTTGTGTACATATGCTCTGCATCTTCGATGCTTTGCAACCCGTGAAAATATCTGTGAACATATCTTGTATACATGCTCTGCACCTCTAGTGGGAACTGTCTTGTTTCCATATCTTGTATTCACAATTTGCTTACCGCTTCACTTTGTTCCACATACAGTAAGCTTATTTGCTTTCAAAAAACCCTTGCTAAATAAAATAACAAATTAGTATTTATACAATTCCAAAGAGTTTAGCTAAGTAAGATTAATAATTAGTATTTCAGAGATTGCGGAGTCTCTAGCTAGGCAAGAAATATAATTAGTAATTATAATAAGCTAGAGATGCGAGAAATAGAAAAAGAATACAAAGAAATATAGCAAGAAGGCACTGGGGAGTCTACTACTCCTTAGTGGGAACTCCTCTTGTCCCCTCCATTACATTTTAATCTAATAATATCAAAAACTAAAATATAATTAAAGATGGTATTGCAACTAGTTATAATCAATGATAAATAAGTATTACAAAATTGTAACTAATTATAACATTAATAAAATCGAGTTACAACTAGTTGCAACTAATAACAAATAAACATCACATAGTTGCAAATAGTTGCAACGCCATCTTTAAATATAATAAAAAACAAAATTTTATTAAAAAATTTTCAGAATCCCATTTTCCTAACTATCTATATAAAACTTTTGTAATAAAAAAGGAAGGAATAACTAGAAAAAATAAAAAAATAAGTTAATGTTAAATTTGAATATATTCAAACTTAAAAATCATATTTGACATATAAAGATAAAATTGATTTTTTCTGACAGTTTCTTTTCTTTCTATTGCAAAGATCTTATATCATTATATATCATTATATATTTGTCACTAATTTTAACTCTTCTATATATATTCTTTAATACAAAGTATTCTACTAAGTGGATTAGAATATAAATTATATAGTATAATATTTATTTTATTTGCTTTAACAACTTTCAAAGATCATTAAGACTCTTATTTATTTTTCTTGTAAAGCAATCTTTCTATCATAATAAAATATTTTGATTTTTGTTTAATTGCTACTTATTATTATTAATTTAGATGTATTGACATGTTAAGAAATATACTAGTGAAAAATATTTATCTAAGTTTATATTAAATTAAATTAGAATTTTATTTCTATAGAATATCTGTTATTTACATTTAAGTGAAGTTTTCTAAATCAATTAATTATTTTCATATCATAAGCGTCGAGTATTATAAGCTAATGTCTAAGTCTTCCAATAAGATTTGTCATATATTTCAAGTAAGCCAAGATAGCATGGTTGATAATCACATTAAATTTATGTCTATATAAATAATGATAATAGTATTTTACAACCCAGATAACAGTCAAGCATTCTAATCAATAACAGAATATTTTCTTTCAAGTGGCCTTAATGTTCTACTTGTGTATGTGATAACTCATTCTATCTTTTTTTTAGCCTTTGGAAGAGAATTGCTCCTAGAGCAAAGAAAGAAGCATCAGTATAGTGAATGAAAGGTCTATCAAATTCTGGGTATGTGAGAATCGGTTGAATTATTATGCAGCCTTCAAGTCATTTAAAAGCCTTCTGTTAATGTAGGGTCTAAACATAGGAAGTGTCTTTAATACCTGTTTAAGGGTTCAACGATATTGGCAAATCTTTTAATGAATTTTCTGTAATAGGATGCCAAATCAATGCATCCTCTGAGTTGCGTTAGATCCTTTGAAATGGGAAAGTTCTTTATAACGGTTACTTTATCAGGGTCAGTTTGAATTCCTTCTCTACTGATTACATGTCCGAGGATTGGCAATTTTGCTCAAAGAAGAAACATTTTTCTGGGCTTAACTTCAATCCAGCTTGTCACAATCGTATGAATACTTGTTCTAAATGTAAGAGGGGTTTGTTGAACGTTTTAAATCCAATATTAATATCGTCAACATATACGACTACGTATTCCCATAAAATATCACGTAGGACAGTATACATTAACCGTTGAAATGTTGCAAAGTCCGAAGGGCATAATATTGAATTTATATGTTCTCCTTTGGATCTAATTCAACTTGCCAAAATCCGCTGGCAAGATCGAAGGTGGTGAACCATTTTGATCCTTCTAATGTCTCCAACATATTATCAATTCGTGGTAGCGGGTAATCGTCCTTTTTTGTTACGCTATTCAGTTTTACGATAATCAACACACAAACGTTTCTTGCCATTTTTCCTTTCAACAACTACGACAGGCGAAGTCCATTGACTTTTGGAGGTTGCGTGTCGATTTAATAATCGCGTATGGTTTGATATTGGTGTAATTTTCGAACCATGGATGCCACAAATCCAAGAATCGAGATATCAGCCGAAAAAAATAATCCTTCTGCATTATTTGATTATGTTACACAAACATTCTTCGTCAGTTTGAAAGATAAGTATAAAAAAGTTTGGTTTAGATGAGTCATAAAATAGATCATTTACGAAATCGATTTTCTTCTAATTAAATGATCTCCATCAAAATCATTTCCCATAACAATAATATAAATTTATTTAAATATAAAAATTGAAAAATTATTTTTTTTTTTTTTTAGGGACACCCGATCGATTTTGAAAGAGCTTGAAAAAAGCGGTTATACATGTACATGAGAAGAAATAAATGCTCTTGCCATTTTCCTTGTTTATTTTTATTAATGCTGGTATTTCCAACATAGCACGGATAACATCACGAACTTAATAAAGTTGACAACGTTCAAATTGGAAAACCATAATTCCGGGAACTTAAAGAAATTATCATAAATTCTCTTTTTATTTGTCAGAAAATTTTTGTGAGCTGTTTTCAGTGGCCGTTATAAGTCTCGCGCTTTTATAAGTCGCGCTTTTTTTTCTTACATCTCTTTTTAAAATATCTAATATTTAAAAATCGTATGATCGACGTTGGCTGAGGTTTATTTATTTGATTAGATCGTTTAAAATCATATGATGAGTAGTATAAATTTGCACAATCTTTTTCTTGGCGTTTGTTGTAAACCTATTTAAATCAAATTTTTTAATATTTCCTAGTGAATTTTTTCTCACATTTTTCTCACATTATCTTTAAAGACATGGCAACTAAATTAACCGAATTGACACCTTTGCAGCTTAAAGGTTCTGCGCATAAACCGACACTAATTGCAGCAAAACCTGTTATTACAGTTCGTGAAGCATTGAAAGATATGGCAAAACACAATATTACGTCTCTACCAATTTACTCTCATGATTCTGATAATATTGTTACCATAGTAAATTTGATTGATGTGTTAAATTACATCATTAAAGAAGCCGTTGCCGATGAAAAATTACCAAATTATTTGGATAGTGAAAAAAGTCATAATTTGAATAATCCGATTGAAGTTGTTATGCCTTTAGATTCCGAACAAGAAAGTTATAGGATGTTTAAATCTGACGCTAACGAACCTATACTTAAGGTACAAATCAAATGAGAAAATTTTATATATTGGATTTTTTTATGTATTTGATATTTTATTTTATTTTATTTTTTACATTTATTAATATTTATATTAATTTTTTTTTTTTTTTATTGTGTCGTTCGTAGACCCTTGAGGCGTTTTCTAAGAACGTCCATCGTTCATTGGTTATTGATTATTTAAACAAAGTTCCTCCATATATCTTAACGCAAACTGATATTATAAGATATGCACATGCACATCCTGAAGTTTTACCAGGAATTGATTTGAATGCATCTCTGGAGAGTTTTGGTTTGTCTGGAAGAGATCGTGAAATTGTTATTGGGAGAGACAATGAAACAGCTTTAAATGTTTATCGTAGGATGGCTGAAAGAAATCTTATGGGAATTCCGATTATAAACCAGTAAGTTGATGTCCTATATAAAGGATTCTATTTACTTTACTATTGAGGGGTTTAAAATGTTTAATAATTCTTTCCTTTATAGCAATACAAAACAATTAGTTGGAAATCTCTCTGTATCAGATTTACGTGGCCTGGACTATAAGTCCATTAACAATCTCGTTTTACCAGTTCTTAAATTCTTGGCTGTACGTGCAATGATATAATTAAAAAATTTTTTTTTCGTTTTAATTTAAATTTTACTAATACGCTCCTTAATCACTCATATTTATATAGACCCTTCCAAACGCAGATGCGATCTTAAACCCATTTACAGTCAAAAAAGATAGTTCGCTTGGAGAAGCGCTAAAATTAATCACTGAGAGCCATCTTCATCGCTTATGGATCGTCGATGATGAAAAGAAAGTTATTGATGTTCTTTCACTTTCAGATATAATTCGTGTATTTACAAAGGTTTAAAGGGAATTAAGTTTAAGGATCATTTTTTATTATATTACAATACTTATATAATATATCACATTTATTTGTATATTAGTATTAAAATTTAAATTATAAAAAAAATTTAAAGATTAAAGCCGGTTAAATTGTTTTTCCATATCATTGAAATTAAATTAAATGAAAACCTTTTGATTTAGTTCATAAAAGCCATCTTGACTCGCATGTCCAAGTCACAGGATGGCAGATCTAAATTGTTGCTATAACTATCACTTTTTCATTATGACCATTAATTATAAAATCAATCTTTTTTATTTCGATTGTTAATCTTCATGATTTTGAATTCCTTCCTTCTCCCAATCCATTAAAACTTCTTGATGGTGATTTATTTGGTTTGATAAAAGTCATAAGTTTGACATTTAGAAAACAAAAGTAACATAAAATATATATGTTATTTCTATAAAAAAAAGAAAAAAATTATGATTAAAAGGACACCACATACGAAGGTTTTATAGTTTAATATTAACTATTTCATAAAAGGTTTATTAAATCAAAGATTTATAAATATTCATGCGACAACACGAGAAATATTTCATCGTTACATAAAAAAAAAACAAAAAAAAATTTACAAATTTAGCAAATACTCAAAGGAAGGAGACAAGCTATTTTTAAAAATTTTATCTTTTAGATACAATAGAAGAATTGGTTTATAGTCAGTAACAACAATTAAAAAAAAAAAAAGATTGAAAAACTTGAAATCTTTTGTGGTACAGACAACAGGAGGTAATTCAAAAAGTGAGAATGTATGTATCGCTACATTATCTCTATAACACAATATGTTTTGAACCCAATATGCAAAAGAAAAAAAAAAAAAAAAAAGTTAAACTTTATAATTACAGATAATAAAAATGATAATTTAAAGCGGGTAAATGGTTATTTATCTATTCCGTTATGGAGTATCGCGTCACTTTCAATTATTTTTTTCTTGTGAATTTTTTTTTTCTCTTTTAAAAATGAAGAAATTTATCCATTATTTCGGGATAAACGCATGCCGAATTTGGTAAAAATTAATTAGCACATTCTTGATTGGAATCTCTTTGTTAAGATGGATTAGGAAAGAAAATTTTTTTAAATAATAGATTGAATCAAAATCTTGTTTTATATTAAATTTATATATGGTGATAATTGATTATATGATTATATCGGAATTCCAGCAGCGAATCACCGAAAATTTTCTATATTAAGTAAAATGTTCTAAGGAGGGGGGGGGGGGGGGGGGGGGGGGGGGGGGGGGGGGGTGGGGCGGGGGGGGGGGGGGGGGGGGGGGGGGGGGGGGGGGGGGGGGGGGGGGGGGGGGGGGGGGGGGGGGGGGGGGG